CACTAGATACAAGCCTTACTGTGCGCTCTATTCCCTTCAACACTCTAGCGCTGCCTTTCCCACACATCCACCTTATGTCACCATTTATTTGTTTCACACACTTCCAGTTTCTTCCTCAATTACTCCTCCCATGTGATGTGGCCTTCACAGATACTTGGGCCCCTCTTCTATCCTACCGGCCCTCTTCCACAGGTAGTATTTGGCTGAAAGCATGGAGTCTGACTGGGCTCACTAAAATATTTTCCAGTCTTTCCCCTTTGCCCCCGATGCTTCCTCCCCTGTGAGCCAGCAGACTGTGGGAGGCCAATCTGTCATACTTATTGTTCCCGGGGCATTACTGTCACTGGTAGTACTGGTGACTGGCAGGCTGGCCCTGCGGCATGCTCTGTCAAACCTTCTAGTAACCCGTCTCTGCAGATAAAGTCACTTGACTATTGACAACTGCTTTAGAGAAGTCTAATCCTGATTGATAGAATGATTGATTGAGAGTGTGACAGGATGTAAAAACTGAACAGAGAAAGATGCCAGATAAAAAAACACACACACACACAATTATAAAGACAGATAGGCTGAGTGTGTTTTGTTTTCAGCAGCTCTGCAACCCAGTCACACCCATTAATCACTGTAAAACATTGTGCACGTTTTCTTCATCCTTCATTACAGTGGAGCAAGGCCACTGTAATGAATCATCGTGTAGAGGGTCAGTCACTTTTAACAACTTGAGAAAGAGTAGAACTGCATGTACACACACACACACAAAACAGTGCATCCTCATACATTAGCACTAACATTTCTCTCGCGGATGAAGAGCAGTGCCAACATGGAAAAAGTGAGACTTCTACACCTCTGTGGGCCTTTGCAGGTCAGTGTAGATGATACAAGATATTGATATACACACCCACATGTTCCTGAAGTTGAACAGAAAGGGTTCACAAAGAAACCCCACACCAACTTTAGCTCCAAATATTTAAATAAGAATGTTAACTAACAGGTGTATGCATGCATTTCTGTGGATTTTCTGTTTGTCTTTTGTTCTCATGACTTTAACTTCTTCCGACTTTGTGTGAGACAACATGTGTCCCCTTGGGGACAAAAAAAAGTGATGTCATGGCTACAGAGTCTCCCTTTGTTACCATCACTGCTTTTCTTCTCCCAACCACTCATCCTTGTCTTTGTGTTTCTCTTCTTCTCCCCTCTACTTGTTCTTGACTTGCATTGTCTTTTGGCTTACATCCAGTCTAACAGCACAGGCAGGCACAAGTTGGATCACAAATATCCAACTTCCTTTCTCCTTCCTGGCTCTGACTTCCCCTTCACTCCACTGCTCTTTACTGTAGCAGCTGTCACTTATAGTGATAAGAAGGTATGGAAGTTCTCCTCCAAGGGATAAATGACTAGTGTATAGGATTTTGTGGTATCTGTTGATTTGATGATTAGTTGCAGATTGAAACTCCTTCACTTCCCCCTCTCCTTCCACGTGCTAAATAGAAACTAGGGTGACTGCGAAACTTGTGAAAAATACAAATGGCCCTATGTAGTGTTTTCTTTGTCCATTGTGTTCTGGGCTAGTGTATGGTGGCTCAAATGGCAGGCTCCACAGAAGGTGACCAGTGGCATAAAGACATAAAGGCTTATTCTAAGGTAACAAAACATAACAGTTCTTATTTTCAGAAAATATATCATATTTACGAATATTGTGTCTCATTTCTGTTAATAAATCCTTATAAATGTTACACACTGGACCTTTAGAGGTGAAATTTCAGCTCATATCTCGCTAGTTCGTAAATTAGTTACATTATAGTAAATATGATGAGAAGGGTCCTCAAGGAGAAGCATCTATGCCATTGTGAACTCATTGTTTTAATAGGAATACCATAGCCTGCAGAGTAAACTGTCTAAGTCTTGGCAAAATGTCCCTATCCAGTCAGTCAGCACATTTTTTTATTTGACACAGCAATATGCAGTAAATTGAATCCATTCAATCAACTGAATATGAAAAAATCCCCCGGACGGAGTTAGTAAAGAATCGGGTACACAGGCCGAGGAAAAAGAGCAGACAATGTATCAATAAATAGACTTTATATCAATCCCTCCAGCCAAGAGTTTTTCACTGGAGAGCAAATGAAATGGTACTTCCACAGCATACTGAACACAAACCTCAAGCCATCCACTAAGGACATTCCTTCAAGTGCCAGGATATCACCTCACTCCTGATATGTTCAGCAATAAAGAGGAACATACAGGATGATAACACCCACTCAGTACCTCAGTGCTTATCCTCCTTTTAGCTGCACATTCACAACTTCTTCTTTCCTACAACCATAAAACTAAGAAAGGGCTTCATCGGCCATTGAAAATCTCCTGTGGCGTGACTTATTGATCACCGCTGTGTGTGTGCATGAGGGGGATAAACATTAGCTTCAAAATGAGTACCATCTCACTGTAAAGCAACTCTCACAAAGAAACCTCAACATCCACATAGACACCTGCTCAGACCGATATGGACTTCAGTGTGTGCCGTATGCTTTCTTCCACACTCTGCTGCTTTCTGCAGAGGGCCACTGTGATGTCTGCTGGCTGAAGTTGACCAAATGTTCCAGGCTCAGTGGCGTGTTGCTGCTGTCTCAAGGACAGGCTGATATTGGCTAGCAGCCAGGCAGTTAGTTAGTTTGTGCATTAATAGGATTTACCCATATTTCATGCATTTTTATTGACTGAACTATAACAATATGAAACATTAAGTGATTAGTTCCAAAACAATTCTAAATACAGTATATGCCAATTCAGTCTGAACATAAATTATTCTACAACATGGTTTCAACATCTTCAGACAAGCATGCAACATAACTAAGATTTTCATGTGATTGAAAATAAATAGTTAATTAAATGAATAGTTTGACATTTAGGGAAATAGGCTTATATTAGTGTTTTTCCTGAGAGTTATATGAGAATATCTATAATATAATGACACTTTCTCTGGGTAAGTATGAAGCTATGGTTAGCTTGGCATAGCATTAAGAGTGGAAACAGGAGAAACAGCTAGCCCTGCTCTGCCTAAAGTAAAGCTCATTAATTAACATGCTATATCTTGGTTTAATCTGTACAATCTAAAGTATCAAAATGACACGCTGTGGCTTTACATTGGGGTTTATGTTGGGTGGGTTGGTCATGCATAATATGTTCCTGGAGTCTTGTTTGCCTCCATGAGATATAATATGTTATTTAGTGAGCTGCTGATAGGTGGATTTTGTCACCTTAAGATAGAACCAGAGATGCTGTTTCCCCTTGTTTCTAGCTTTTGTGCTAAGCTAAACTAACTGGCTTCTGGCTATAGCTTCATGTTTACTCTAAACTGTACACAAATCTCATACGTTCAAGGGCATAATAATACAGTACTTGTTGTTCATTCATGCACGCATCACCATGCGCATGTGCCCACAATTTCACCCACATCATCCTCCTTGAAAAACTGCAGTGGGCTTTTATGTGAGTGGGGTGTCAATGGTGTGTGCTGGATATCTCACCTGAGCACTATGCTCACTGTGGCATCTGTTGTTGGAGTTGATGACTCACTGCGGCCTCATGGAAAGAAACGTTATGTAATGACTGGCCACTAGATAAGCATGAATGTTGCCGTGAATCAAGTTGTGATCCTCCCCTCCTGGCATTGAGGTGGATTATACATATATTCACAAACTCCTGTGTTGCTCCAAGGTTTCTTGGTTCACAGTTTTTCCTTCTGTCCTTACATCCCTCCAAATTCCTCCCTCCCTCCCTGTCGGAGCAGATGTACTGTTTTTCCTCTACCCTCGCACCTGCTTCACCCACATGCACGCTTGCTCTCTGTCTCTCACTGCGCTACATTTTGGATTTTGGTCCAGAGAGAGGACTACTGATGAAAAGGAATCGCTTTTTTTTAATCATCTCTCATCTCTTCACCCTCATTTTCTGTCTCCCGTATTCATATTTTTTCTCCAGACTTTGCAATGTGCTAATGTAGAGGATGTTTCATTGACACATTTTAAGTTCAATTACAATTTGAACTGAAATTGCTTTACCACCTTACTGTTGTTTTCCACAGTAATTAGATTGTGTGTGCACAGCATACAATAGACACACATTCAAAATAATATCTGTATTACCTCCTATTGGGATATCCTAGGTTAAAAACTCATTTGAGAGAGAATTTTACAGCAGTTTTTATTATATAATATAAATAAAATATATTACATTTTCATTATCCACTATTCCACCGTCCATTGCTTCCTTGCTGCATCCTCAAGCACAAATACACCAACCACTAAAGGCCACTATAACTGAATTCAACCCCTGCAGTTGTAACTTGCTATGATTTCTGCCAAGGTTGGCTAAGTCTTTTCATTTAAACCCCTGCAGCGTTTGGCCACATTATAGTCGCATGACCCCAGCAAAGAATATATGCTTACACATTAGTTTAAAAGGAGACGAGCCTTTCTCACAAAGAGGCTAGATGCATTTCAAGCATCATCTTTGTTTTTACTGTCCTGAAGGTGCTAGTTTTACCAAAGGCTTTTTAAAAGGTCTTGTGGTCTTCTTTAAACTCTTGAATAGATAAGATGTTACAAATCAACCTTAATATAAGCAGACCTTTAAAAATGGTCTTCCTGTAGGTTATATAAAAGTTGTAAATGTGGCGCCATCCACTGTTTGATTATTGACAATGTATATATCTGCCCCTTAATATTTTATTTTTACAGAGATAGTGAGAGCAATGACACATGTGATCAACCAGGGGATGTCCATGTACTGGGGGACGTCCCGGTGGTCCGCCATGGAGATCATGGTGAGTGATGGAAAGTCTTTGTGCATCTTGTAGCAAGCAACCTGAGACAAAAAACTGTTTCGCTTTAAAAAAAGATTCCTATGACAAAAAAACTATTTAGGTCTGGCAATATGCTGATATTTATTATTTTTTATCATTAATCATATTGTGGGATTTTTTAATACCATGAAACACATTAGGAAAAATATTTGCTTTCTTATTTACCACTACAAAGCAATTATAAAGGCATCTTCATCTTCCAGAATTATATTAGAAAATGCAAATAAAGGTGACAGTTCCAGTTTAGCTTGACATTATTGTACTACGCACTCTAATGCACTCTAATCACCTGGACTACATGACATGTGATTTCCATTGGCTAAACAGATAAAAAAAATACATGTATAATGATATAGATTACAGTGGGAGGTCTTCTAATTATTTAGATATCCATTTTGCTCTCAATACTATCAGCACTGTAAAAGACAATGAAATCCAAAATGAGCTAATATGTTAAAACACTACACAACAAACAGCAGTTTGAGAAGAACTCTTTAAACGTAAAGGTCAGTGTTTATACAAGTTTGCTCATCTCATGAACATTTCTCCCCTTTGTTTTTATTCCCTCTTCACATTCAATTAGGAAGCATACTCTGTGGCCAGGCAGTTTAATTTAATTCCACCAGTGTGTGAGCAGGCAGAATATCACTTCTTTCAGAGGGACAAAGTGGAAACTCAGCTGCCAGAGCTCTACCATAAGATAGGTAAGTTTCTCCTGAAGTCAAGCTTTTCTGAATAGAGCTGTGATGGATTGTGTATCTAGTTGATCATTGGTCATTGCTCAATCTCAGGCGTGGGTGTGGTCTCTTGGTCCCCTTTGGCCTGTGGAATCATCACCGGGAAGTATGAGAACGGCGTCCCAGAATCCTCCAGGGCCTCAATGAAGGTACGGGCAAAGTTTCTTTTGACCAGTGTCTATATGTTTCAACCCTTTCACTCTCAACAAAACATAATCTGGTTCTAAAGTTATTTCTGTTTTGGGTAATAATTCTATTTTTACTGCTCCTCCAGCCATACCAATGGTTGAGGGAGAAAATAATGAGTGAGGATGGGAGGAAACAGCAAGCCAAGCTAAAGGAACTGGCTCACATTGCGGAGAAGCTTGGATGTACTTTGCCGCAGCTTGCTATAGGTAAGGAACAAGACCCTCAACTTTCCATTCCTGTGAAAGCAAACAAAGAACATGTTGCTCACAACCAAATTCAGTGTTTCTCTACATTCAGTCTGATACCGTGATATCACAATAGCAATTCTATCCTCCATCTTTAGCTTGGTGCCTAAGGAATGAGGGAGTGAGCTCAGTGCTGCTGGGATCCTCCAATCCAAGCCAGCTGACAGAGAACCTTGGAGCCATTCAGGTATAAAGCCCATTTCATGAGCTGAATAATTATTTACTGAATACTAAATACTGTTATATTTTTTGGTCTAGTCAAACAGCATCGATCATGTGCTCTGTCATTATTTTGTGCACAGGTGATTCCAAAGATGACAGCAGGCATTGCCACAGAAGTGGATCATATACTTGGAAATCGTCCTCACAGTAAAAAGGACTACCACCATTAGGATGGACCCTGTTTTAGTGAACTATGCTCGGAAAAGCCTATCAAAGCTCACTTCTCACAGCCATGGCACCATAAGTGCGTGCCCAACTTAGCTTGTGTGCGCGTATGACTGTGTGTGTGACTGTGTAAAAGTGCTCTGCTTGGCTCCTTGTCTGTATAAGGATCAACCAGTACTCATTCTCATAAAGTGAGCTACTTGACTAAAACATGCATGCTACAGCTATAGAAGCAGGCCACTGGAAGGAACAACAGTTAGAAGATCCAGCAAGGTGATTTCTGGAGGTGACATTCTCCTCCGCTCCAACAAAACTGTGCAGAAGCTGCTGAACCACAAATTTAAAGAAGCAAAAGATTACATTTGGGAGAAATAGATTACTGCACAATCAAGCTGATTGACACTAGCATGGGCCAGTTAGTGAACTATCGTGAGTTTCTGATTTAGGGTGTCAGTGTATCAAAAAGAGAAAACTTAAGAGGCATTTATTCTCCACAAAGTATCACATAAGCTCATGGTCGTACAGTAAATACATGGAAAATGTGTCACCCAATGTTCAAGAAATCTACCTTACTAGATGTTTGTGACGTTTAAATAATAAAAAAACAAAAAAATCAATGATGATGTGTGTAATTGGGCCTGGTCTCAGCAGACTGGATGATATGCTAACTGCAGCTGGAGCTGACCTGTCAACGTGATGAATCGTTTCCGTACTGGATGAACTGAAATTGTGCTCACAATGTTGTCGCTAATACCAAGAGAGCTAAGTTAAACAAAAAAATATGTTTCAAAACATCTGTACTGACTGTTATATATTTCCTTATTACGCAGCTATGTCATAGGCTAATGAGCTTTTCATCTCCTTGTGTTGTATTTTTTTTTCCTTTTTCACTTATGCAAAAGTACAGCATAGTGTACTTTCCTATTATACCCTTCCAACCTCTTTTAATTTGGACTATGCCCGACTTTCTGTCAGTAATGATCATGTCTGATTCATTTAATTTCAGTCTGTGCTGTGGCTTAAACATTTGTCTAGTTGAAGTTGGGAAGATGATCCTCCTGAGGGGGAGGTTGTGAATTTAAAAACAAAGCCGTGTAGCTAATGAAGACACTCAGTACAATAAAAAATAAAACCCATATGGACCCCTGCAGTCACTGCACCTGGAACACACTGAATTCTTACCCAACTTCTCCCAGATGCCCGTTTTACATAATGTGATGATCTTTGTTTTGTTCTGTCTGTTCAAACATGTATTTCGATGTTGTTCATCAGATTTGTACATACAAATAAAGAGCTTATAATTCTAACGTGATATGTTTTAAAGCTCTATAGTAATTTTATATTAATGTTATGGATGCCTTCTGATTTTTCGCCCCTTAAAAACTGAAATGACAAAGCTAGGGTAAACGTATTGTTTGCTGAGTTACAGTGTAAACCTAGCCCGCAGTATTAAAAATAAACAAAACAACAACAACAACCTGTGACTTGAAACACTCTGGTGTAGTTAACGTTACTGCTGTTTGCTGTTGGGGTTCGTCTGTGTCTTCCTGTTTTATAATAAAATAAGGTGTGAATTATTTGACTTGTAAAAAAATATGTACGCCTTTTGTATTTTTGACGTATTTGATTTGATTTCTTTTGCGTTTGTGGCATGGTTTCCATGGAAACAAAGGCGGGCGTTTGCGGAAAATTATCCAATGAACGCCTCTTGTTTAGAACCGTGATATTTGATTGGCTTCGGGGGACTTCGTCGAATTTACTCGGCTGGAGCTCGAAGCCCGCGGTTTACAAAAACTGCTGCTGAACAAAGCGAACTAGTAGCAGTAAAGTCTTCTTTTTTCTTTTCCCTTCAACTAACCTGCCGCTAACACCACGGTAAACGTCCACTCGGAATAAAGCCGTTCAAAGGTGCAGCTGCAATCCCGCTGTTTCACAACCAAACAGAGCACGGCAGCGTTTTGTTTGTATTGGCTGGAAGGTTAGCTGAAGGCTAGTTAGCACAGGGGAGGTAACGTTACCTTGTCAGCTAACGTAACTAACGTAACTAGCGTCAACTGAAAAGGCTGTGCCCGGTATCAAGCTAGGAAACACACAAGCCGGGTGGTTTCCTTTCTACGACTTGAAGTAAGTGTTGTGTCGGACTTAATACCTGAGTGACTCAAATGTTGTCAATAAACATGTTTGTTTGCTGAACCTTTCCGCGTACATTGTTATTACTCTAATGCTGCAACCGTGCATTGTCTAACGTTATATGTGGCTCAATCACAGCTGGATAACAAACAGCTATGTCACTGTCGACTGAGGCTCATTTTGGGGTGAGCCTGCTGAGCAGAATTAAAGGATCCACAATCTGTGTGGTGCCCGACTTCTCCTCTGATCTCCTGGAAGATGACTATGACCTGAATAAGTCGTACCCAGGTACTCAGAGACCGCTGTACAAGAAGAGCCTTTTGGCATTGCAACGTCGTTACAGCCCTGGCTCCTTGACAGGTGAGTGTGAACTGATTTGGTTGTAATTATGAGTCGAGCTACTGTGATGAGTCAAACGACACACGTTCAATCCGCAGCAGTTTTGATAATTGACCATCGTACCAAGCAAAATTACCTAAATGGCAGCCCTAGTTGTGAGGATAATGGTGGATGATGGATGTCCCCAATGTTTGCTTACAGGTGAACGTTTGGATGATTGCACTTCTGTCGCAACAAGAAACTACCAGATCTCTAGCTTGCATCCTGGCTCCCAAGTGTCTGCTGTTACCTTGCCACACCTGTCCACTGTGTCAGAGGCGGAGGAAAGCTTGTTCAGTCAGCTGATCTCTGGAGATTTTGACCTGGCAGGATCTCCATCTGCCCTCAACCCAAACAAAGTCATTCTCACCGTCCACCGTAACACCAGAGAGGTACTTTTAATGTGTGCATTGAATGTGAGCGAAACTGGCCAACCATTACTGCAACTAGAGCATAACCTGTGAGTGTGTTTTATCTTCATTTTTCAGATTTTGTCAGCCAATGAACAGGCATGCAAGCTGTTTGAGTGCACCACCAATGAGCTGATTGGAAAAAAGCTGTCCTGTATCTTGAAGAAAACCACTCAGGTCCTAGAAGAAGCTTTGGAAGAAGATTTTCCACTTGAAGATGGAACTGTTGCAACCGTGTCTGGAAAAGTGGTATGAAATATGCTGACTAAAAAAACTGAATGAATGAAAATGAAAGAATTGAAAGCATAGATGTGCATAGATGTGCTTATATTGACTCTAACTACTGTGTAGTCAAAATTTCTTACAACACTGTTGCAAGAATGTGCCTGTTTAGAGTGTTTTGTATGCTTAACATGCTCTTTTTTTCTGCAGGTGGATGTTGTGACATTATCTGGAGAGGTGCCAGTGTCGGTGTGTACCTACAGGCAGTCACAAAATGAAGAGCACTGGCTTGTCATAATGGAAAATGTAGAAAGGATATCAGCCTTTCTCTCCTTTTCACAAGATGTAAGTCGAACCTTGGTACTGTGATTTTTCTTTCCCCCCCACATTTTCAATGAGTATTTGGGCTTTCTTGTCTTTTTAAAAAAGCTTTTCACAACTTAATGGTATTAACATCTTCAAGTAAATGCTACTGGGTGAAATATTAAAATATTAAATTATAACAATCCTTTTGGCTGTCTTTTCTAGGGCAGCATCCTAACCTGTGACTTGGCGTTTGCCCAACTCCATGGATACCACCATACCGACGAGTTAAAAGGAGCGTCTGTTAAGGAGCTAATCCCTTCTTTACAAATCCCCCTCCACAGTAATGCATTGCCCAAGGTAAGCACACTTTACACCAAAACTGTCCCACTCAGCTAAGGAAAGAATCCATTTCTTAAGCTTTGCTTTCAAGTTCATGTTTACCAATGTGCTTCTTAGACATTTCAGGAACATGGAGAAAAGAACATTTTAAGCTCAGGTATTTCTGTAAGTCGGTCATCTTTGACTTTGCTTTTCCTTCTTCATTCAGGTGCTGAGGGTTCAGAGAGTGTGTGGTATAAGCAGAGGGGGTGCATCAGTCCCGCTGTGTATCAAACTTCAGGGTGCAGTGGTATGTGGGAGGCCTCAACACCAAAACAATGGAACTGGTTGGACCAGCCCAACAGAGAGTCTTGAAAGCTCAGATCCACAGGACAAGTCAGTAGACTCAAACCGGGAACACTGTGAGCATCCTCATGGAAAAGAGCCACCCTCTGGTACGGTGTTCAGTTGTTTCTTAAAGACAAGGCTGGGTTATATTATTTTGGAGAAATTGGTGCAATCCACTGTCTATTTTATGCTGCCCAATCTCTTCAAAAACATCTTGCAGTATATACTCTTCAGACTTTTATTATAAGAAAAATATACAAAAGCTAGACAAGATAATGTTACCCGCTGATAGAAAAGTAATGAAGCTTGAAGACACTGGCAGGCACTGATATAAAGTTGCGGTTTTAAGTTGAATGTCAGTTATCAATGTTAAGAAAGTAATTTAATGTCAGGAGAAAAGGCCCCAAGTTATGCCAACATACACCAAAAAACAAAAATCCATCAACAAAGGAGTAGGAGTTGAAATGAAACCAACTTACAGGAATTTAAAACACGTACACTGCATTATAGATGTCCAGTGAAAACCATGTATCCAGCTTTGGTGATTTAGAATTGAAAAAGTATGTGTTCCTTAATGGGTTGAGAATATTCTCCATCAAATAAACCATTTAAAAACACATGCACAATCTAATAGGACCCATATTGATTACTTGGAGTGAAGTGTTTTTTTCATGAAATGTTTTCATGTGCACCCTCTACTGTGTGTATTTGTTGAATAGCATCCTCAAAAAATGTAACATTTGCTTGTTTAACCAATCCAATATGGAACATAATCATTATAGGGTAAAACTATATATCTACCCTAAAAAGATATACTACATATATATATTTACATATACTGTAATCTAGTACACTTGCTGTAACTAACTTGGCATCTGCAATGTGTATCTTGACTTTTACAGAAGTCAAAGTAGACAGCCTTGTCCTCTCCCCCAGCCCCGCTCTGGAGTACTCTGGAACAGTCTGGGTGTTTGCTCCTCTAAGCGGTCTCCTCCTGCTCCACCCTGATGGCTCAATCTACAGCATCCACAACCACCTGGCTCTCAGTCTGTTTGGCTACAACAAGGACGAGCTGCTGAGAAAGGTTAGCCAGAATGACCAGCTGAATAAGGCTGTTTGGATTGACAACTATGCCAACTCTCACTTCTGTCACTGCTGCTTTGTCATCAACAGAGTGTCACTTTTCTGATGCCCGGCTTCTATGGATGGATGTCTGACTCTGACAGAAAGGCCAACTCCTCTGCTAATCAAGCAGAGGCTAGTAAAAGTCCAGCTTCATCCAAAGTATCAGGGAAATTTGGTGAGCATTTTATGTATTTGATTTGATGAATACAAGATGGCAGCTTTTTAAACTGAGTTGAAAGATTTGAAGGGGGGCATGGAGGGAGAGGCAAAGATACTGTGTGACAGGTGCGCATCTGTGTTTTAAAAACATCGGGAAATTTCAGATTTGTAATGCACACGTTTTTATTTCCAGAGGATATCAATACCTAAATAAACCCATTTAGAAATAGCAACAACAAAAGAAGACGCTTCTTAAAACTTCAGAACTTACCTAAGAAGTCAATCATTTTCTCGATTAATCTATTAGTTGTTTCATCCATAAAATATCAGAAAATAGTGAAAACTGTTGATCACTGTTTGCCAAAGCCCAAGGTGATTGTCCCAAAAGATGTTCAGTTTACTGTCTTAGAGGACTAAAAAAGAATAAAAAAATATATTGTATTCACATTTCACACAAAGCTGAAATCAGAGAATTTACAGTAGTTAACAATTAATTTAATAGTTGGCAACTAATTGATTGTTGCAGCTCTACTTTTAATGCTGCCATTCTGTCAAAATGTTAACCAAAAAAATCCCTACTACAAACTAACTCACTGGCAACATTCTACTTCGTGTTTACAGCCCCAAATTATGGGACCTATAGTTGTTAAAATTAGAGAATTATTAACCCCAAATAGACAAAGAATAACAAGAGTGACAAATCCATTAATATTATATTCAAAATTCCCTTTGAATACCACTAGTCTACACTGTTGTCTATGTGTTGTGGTGTTTCCCGTATGCACCTCACAGTGGTGTCCTATCATAGCAATGCTGCAACTCTGTTTATTTTGTCTTGTCATAAAGTACTGTTTGTTTACACTATGTGTGATTTAATCATTTCAATCCTAGACCCTTCCTCACTGGTGGCTGGTGATATGGCCATGGTGCATCACGCAGCCCTGGGAAGAACATCCACAGGGAGAGGCAGGATCTTCACTGGAACCAGCACCAGGCTGGATAAACAGGGCAGTGCTCTGTCGACCCTTTCTACTCCTGCTGTCACCTCTACACGTGTGGTTCTGTAAGTAGCAATCCCCATGTCCTCGTGGTCATAAGCCACCTGAATGTTTTGTACTCGATAACTAAATGACCTCATATTACCAAATGATACTAAACTGCTTGAATATGATCGTGTTTAAACCTGCACAGAAAATGATACAAAGGAGACATTAGAATTAAGCGTAGACCAAATCTATGCTTTGTATTTTCACAAATAATGGACAGAAGAAAGCAGCAACATCCAGCAGCAGACTGCATATATATTTAATGTGCCTGGCAGTAAATCTGAAAGCACAACAACTCTATGGTCAAGCCATATACAGTTTTTCTAAACTTTTAATAATAATTAATTGTTTAAAGAGAGAGAGTCTTTCATTACATAAACAAATGATCCTGACTGTGACACTGGAAGATGATTTCAGATTCAAATGTACAATATATTAATGCCCCCCTCTTTTGCCATCTGTTGGACAAATAATGTCACAGCAAGTTTCAGTCAAGTTTCAAGTGTATTGTCATACACATTCAAAGTACTGGGTACATTGAAGTGCAATGAATGAATGAATAACTAAAACAGTAAATAAGGAATCCCACGCTATAAAGGTTACTGTGAGCTCTGTTATGTTCGGTGCATATTGTTATTCTGACCGCCTGTGGGTAAAAACTGTCTTTGAGGCTGCTGGTCCAAGTTATGATGCTCTGTAAACATGACATTTGCTAGGTGGCTGATGATTGATACTTAGGGCCTTCCTTCTGCAGCGGGTGATGTTAATGTCTTGAAGCTGTAGCAGTGATGTTCCAGTGATTTTTAATGTGTTTTTATTGTCCATCTCAGTTGTTTGTGGTCTTATTTATTCAGGTTGCCAAGCCACACCAGTATTCCTCCTGTAAGGATGCTCTCTGTGACGGCCTGGTAGAAATTGGCTAGGCTTTCTGTGGGCATTCCATATATTTTAAGACAATAAAAGATATATTGATCTACAGTGTGTGTATATATAGTAATATATAGTAACTCATCCACATTCAGATTTGGTGAAGGGGATGAATAAGAGGCACCATACCAAGGGGTTTAAATGGTTACAGACCAGACAAGTAGGGAAACATTAATATGGTATTGCAGCTGTTCTATAAATTTCTTTATCAGTCATTGATTACACTACAAAGAAAAATTAATGTTCCATAGTGTTAATGGAATTGCCACTATGCGGAACATACTTTAATTATTGGTTAATGACTTTCTTTATCATAAGACTACAATCTAAACTTTTAATAGCCTTCATTGTATGATCATAACACTCTTATTTGATCCTGATTGACATTACAATACTTACATTAAAATCCAGCCTTTCTTTCCTCAGGGCCGATGACACTACAGAGCTGATGGCAGAAGCAGCACAAGTTGCTCTCTGCAGTAATCATCTAGACAGTGCAGATACCACTCAGGCTCTCCTCAAGACTTATGCCTGGGTGGAACCCCCAGAAGAAGACACCTTCTGCCTGGTTACCACCGAACCACCACGCCATAACCAAGAACTGCAGCTCGGCAGTAAGGTTCATAAAATGTTGGTTTGATGCAGCTAAACTGTTAGATAGTTTTTGTTTAAAATAATGTATTTGTAGTTCTTCCTTGCAACCCAGTAAGAAATACATTACATTTTGAAATTGGTAGTGAAAACTTACATATCTTACAGAGCATTGTTTGAGAAGCTGTATTCAGTATTTTTCAGTGTTGTTTTGTTTTTTCTCTCTTAGCCACTCCCACTCAGAATGGACATGCTGTTGGCGGGGTGGGTGGCACCTCTGCTGGTGTAGGAAAAGACCACCGCCCATGTGCCTCTGTCCTCCAAGACTCCAGCTTTGAAGTCATCTCACTGGAGAGCAGGTGGGGGGAGAAGTTGCAATTTTTTCCTTTAAGAGATGTTTCATTCATTATATTTGGCACCAAAATATACAGCTAGCTTCAACCTTATTTGCATGTAATCATCCCATCGGATATCTAGCCACAGTTCGTCTTTTATGTCAGTAACTAAGGCTAAAAGACGAGGAGAAATTAAAACTGCTGTGCATATTTTATCACTAATTAAAATTAAAATCCATTTCATTTCTATTTCATTTTTATTCCTTCAGTGTGTTCAAACTGTTTAGGCTGATTGCTTGTTAGTTGGAGTTTCACAGTTGATACTGCAATTTGGAAGAAAATGTATCTCTCCTGGTATGACGAGAGCAAAGTAATTCTTTAACATCCATTTGGACGGAACAACTTCTCACTTGCACAATTTACAGGCAAATAACCACTGAAACGGGCCATAGTTTTCCTAATTGTCATGCCAGGTTTGAGAAATGTTCATATTTCCCCGCCTCATTTTGATAAAATAATATCAGGATGTCTGTATTCTAAAAAGATTTGCCAAACAATTACAAACTCAATTCCCCAGGTCTTCCTCTGGCTTCTGTGAAAAATTTGCTGGGAATTGTGGTTCTGATCCAGGCCAGACAGAGGACTCCCCCTCAGCACACATAGTGGACTCAGCCAGCTGTTTCCTGGACCTTAACAGCAATGGTGATCTGGTGACCCGGGCCCTGGCTGATCTAGATCTGAGCAGTAGTCTAGAGCTGCTCAGCGGCGGAGGGTACAATGAGGATAACCAGCACTCCATGACATCCTGTGATACAGCTGAGCTCCTGCGTACACCCTCCCCATGTGTGGTAGAGTCTGACCATGAAGCGGAGCCTGTTGAGACTGGGAACGCTGATGTGGGAGCCAGAGATGGCTCAAGTGAAGAGCAAGGAGAAAAAGACCAGGGCGAGCAAGATCAGTGGGCAGCTATCTCTTCAATTCATAAAGACAAGAGTCAAGGGTTCTGTGTGCAAATGAATGGTGGGGTTGAGTCAATGACCGACATTCCTGCCACATCTACTCCTAAGAAACAGAAGGTGAATGGAGGCACACTGTCCTCAGACAGTACACAGATACTGGAGGGGCGATATGTAGGAAGCGCATATCACAGAGATGGCACAAGAGTAGGTTGGTATTACTACACCTGTTTCCCATTAAACAATTCTACAGATTGAAAAAACTTTAACCAGTACCTTATTTTCCTACCTATGTTATATCTGGGGCTGCTGTAACACGTAGACTGCCCCAGTGTGGGATCAATAAAGTCTATCTTATATGATTTTCCTCTCCAGATGTGCAGTGTGATGTTCACAGGACTGACCTTCCTGATGGAAGCTCCATGTTCTGTGTGTGGATGAGCAGGCCTGGACAGCAGGGGTCATTGTTGCAAACAGACCAATCACTGCACAACCAATCAGGAGTCAGTCTAGGAGAGGTCAGTGGTAGTAAACATATTTATTATCTCATCAGTATGGCACATAATGTTTCTTTAGGAAAATACAAAACATTCCTCATTCTTTGCTCCTTTCCTCCTTTTTAGAGGATTGGTGAGGCCAGTCATGGGGAGGCACTGCGCTCCACCATGGACCTGGAGCAGTCTCGAGCCTGTGACGGGCAGTTTGAGGAAGAGTATCAGCCTCTTAAAGCTGTGGGTAAAGGAGCCTTTGGTTTCGTCTGGAAGGCAATAAGACGCAGTGATGGACAAGAAGTAAGAAAACATTTGAATCAATGCAGAAACACATCCTATTCATGCATGTACAATATGCATGAATGTAAGTGTAAAAGTATTTGACATCAATTGTTATTGTGTGAAAACGAAGTTAAACCATGAGATTTCTCAGGGTAATCTGATCGTTGTGATCACGTTGTCTCCTTTTACTGGATTTTTAACATTTGCAGGTGGTAGTGAAGTTCATTAGCAAGGCCAGGGTAGTGAGTGACTGCTGGGTAGATGACCCCATGCTGGGACGAGTCAGCCAGGAGATTGCCATACTGACACGAGTACAGCACCACAACATAGTCAAGGTAACTGGGTTGTCACATCAGAGCATTGTAGAAACCTTCATTCATGATGCTCAATTATGTATTTATGAGTATGCGTGTGTGTGTGCCACTAGGTGCTGGAGGTGTTTGAGAATGGGAGTTACTTCCAGATGGTGATGGAGAAACACGGAGATGGCCTGGACCTTTTTGAATTCATAGACATGCAGCCAAGACTGGATGAGCCCCTGGCCAGTTACATCTTCAGACAGGTATGTTTATAGCCAAGAAAATACATACGACACGAGAATGGGCTCTGACATGTGAAGCAGTCATTTCTTAAACTGGAGGTTCTGTCTCTTCCCAGCTGGTGGCCGCTGTCTTCTATCTGAGGACTAAGAACATCCTTCACAGGGACATAAAAGATGAGAACATCATCATCGACACATGTTTCCACATTCGACTGATAGACTTCGGCTCCGCTGCCATGATGGCTCCCAGGAAGCTTTTTTACAATTTCTGTGGCACACTGGAGTACTGCTCCCCGGAGGTGCTTCAGGGGAATCCGTACGTATATAATCACTGAGAATTCTAAGTCCTTTTCATTTAACAACAGATAGGACTTTAAATATTATAATGGTCTCTTTTTATAGATGGTTTAGGTCAAAAGGGGAATAACTGCTCACTCAAAGCATTAAATCTGACACCAGAATCTTGGTTAGAGCACTGTTTTCCAGTCCTGTATGACTTTTATGACCCACTAATCTTTACAATCTATAATTAAACTAACTTCAAGGATATACTGATCGTAAAGTTAGAAAAGCCATACAGTAACACTTAATTAACTGTTGAATAAAATGCTGCCATGTGTTTCTTAATGCCAAGTATACGTTTAATGCAAAGTATAAGCTTTATTTAATTATTCTTTGCCTCCTTTTTGGGGTTCTGTTGTAGCTATGAGGGTCCAGAGCTGGAGATGTGGTCTCTTGGTGTGTTGCTCTACACTCTGCTATTCAGTGAGAACCCTTTCTGTGATGTGGAGGAGATCCTGAATGCCAAACTGAAGCCCCCATTCCCCCTCTCTCAAGGTATACTGCTGTACTCAATAGTAGTATTAGTTTTCATTGACCGTCATAATGTTTCAGTTTCCAACAACATTTCATGAATTTCATTTCATTTCTCTGTACACTGTCAGACCTGCATGGTGTTTTATGTGGGCTACTGCACCCTGCTCCCGCTAAGAGAATGACTCTGGACCAGCTGTTGTTACAGTCCTGGATCAGCCAGCCTATTTCCCTGTCAGAGTACAGCTGGACAGAGGTGGTCCCTACAACTCAGACCTACTGTGAGTACTCTTTGACACTAGAGTTGGACTGACAACGGCCAGACATGTTTCCACTTCAGATCTGACGAGTTTACACCTGTAATTTAATATCGTTTTCATTTCTGCAATACCTGTAAATAAATGTACCTGTAATTGAGTATGCGCTTCCTTTTGATAACTATCATAGATAATCTGTGTAATCTGTAGTCTCAGGTGTGCTTATTAAAGACCTGGAACCTCTTCTTTTAACAGGCTCACCACAGTACCAGGAGTCCAGTCCTAAATTGTACATCGGGCAAGGCTTGTTCCCAGACCAAGGTGATGAGACTCTTCCTGATGAGGAGGAGGAGGAGGATGAAGATGAAGATGACAGGTTGTCAATGGTGGCCCTAGAAACAGAGCTTCAGAAGTATCTCCATGAGGATTAAAGACTGAATTTAAAGGGAGTGGAGCCCGATGGTCCGTCCATTTAGTCTGCAGCAGTGCAAAGAGGATGTAAAGTGCAAAATAAGACAAGGGAAGCTTTTAGAGACAAATGGGACTTTATGAAGTAGACACCGCTTGCTACCATGTGTAATGAATATAATTGTCAAGCTGTTGTTGTTTGAAATGCAATGAATATTTTTTGTTTTATTTAATCAATTTTGTTATTTATGGATTTAGGGGAAATTTAAAGCATTAAAATCATAGTAATGGTTCAGAGATCCAGCTTTGCCACCAAAACACACAAGTGACTACAACCTTAAGTTGTAAACCTCAGACACCATAGAGAACTTAGTTTGATGGAGAAATAGATAAAGTTAAAGGGAATTGTTTTATAGATCCAGTTTTTGTTTGATAAATATCTTTTTTTTAAGGTCATGATTTTTAATCTTTAATGTTTTAATTAAAAATGTAAGTATATTTACAATATTTTATCTATTTATTTTATACATGAATAAATATTTTACCACAAACATTTTCTTATATTTTCTTGTCATGTTATATATTATATATTATATATTATATATACTAGAGTAATTGCCTATTAATCTGAACTGTGAGATGATTTTGTTTGTTTATTTGAATATTCTATTCTTTATGCAGCCAGTAAAGACAGAAAATCAATGGTGCAATACATCTCATTACATCAGTTTCTAACAAGTACCAGATAGCACCGGCTGTTTGACCGGGCTGTCTGCTTTAAACTGCAGATTTCAAAAACAGAATGGCCCTAAAGTGGATTTAATTTGTCAGAAATCTGTAGAAAAACCAAAATTTGCAAAGTATACTAATATCAACTTGAGTTAAAATAATACGAGTCAGAAATATTATATTGCAGGTATATGTAGTCATATATAAATTAGATTGATTAATACATGTGGAATAAGCATTTTTGTGTTTCTAACAATAATAATTAACCATTTTTATAACAATAGAGGTTTAGGTTTAAAAGAAAGCAACATGAGGCAGAATTATCTTTTGTTGAATAAATCACTAATACATCTCCAGTCTCATCAGTTTGGAGTCAACACTGCTGTCAGACATATAGTGGTCTGCTTTTTAGAGCATACAGAGTACTTTTGAAAACACATTAAACGTATAATGTAACCTATAAAAAGAATGGTTAATATTCAAATGTGATATTTACTTGCTGTGCGCCCTCTTTGTAAATTCCGTGAAGAAAGTAGAGCACAGCGGAACCATTGTTCTCTATAACCCATTGTTGAAGCTGAAACACGGAAGTATATATACGACGGACAAGCATGGGTACCCGAGTTGCTGCACGTCAGGTGAACCAGGATGATACAAAACATGGCAATTTTGACATTTCTTCATAATAATATTAAATTAATTATTAAATTAAGTTAATGTAATAATACATCAAACATGTCGTAGAAAGTTTTAGCGCCAGACAGCCCGCGAACTTCCGCTATAACCTTCATGTTTGCTAACGTATGCTAATGATATCTTGTTTATTCTGCTTAACTTAATGTGTATACATGTATATCTGTTCAGTCATCATATTATATATACATATTATTATTATATTATTATAAATATTATTAATATTATCATTATATACTGTTATTATTATATACTGTT